CCCCAAAACCCCAAAACCCCAAAACCCCGTGCATTAATATATAATTATTAATAATGCAATATAATAATCAAAATTAAAATGAACAAAAATAATATGAACGAATAATAATTGACGAGAAATTAGATCCAGGCAATTCTTGAATCTCAGACAAGGAAAGTCGATGAAAGTAAGCGCAAAAGGACGGTCTGTGTTCATTGGCTCAGTAATTAGTGCAAAAAGGACGAAAGATGCGAGTTTCTTCATGTATTCTAGGAAGACAAGATTCCCCCTTGTAGATATTATTTGCAAGAAGGTGATTGCTCTAAAGGAGATAAGTGTGTGTTTAGGCATGTTAATGCTTAGGAGAAAAGAACTGAGGATTGTCCATACTATGAGAGAGGCTTCTGCAGACTTGGAATATTTTGTAGTCTGAATCATTACTAAAAGAAAATATGCTAAAATTATATGTATGGATTTTGCCCGAAAGGACCAGACTGCGATCTTGAGCACATCAAATCAGTGATTGCAGATAATGAGACCACACTAAAGATTCTTGCTAATTTCCCTGATAATGAGAATTGGTTTGATAAGAACGCGCTTTCACAATCACATCAGCAATAGTAGCAATAACCTTGGCAAAAGGCGATGGTAAAAGTAAGATGCCACAGATGTGGCAGTGTGGGCCATAAAAGTACTTACTGCTAAGAGGAACAAATCACTCCAGAGCAGCTTAACCAAATCTTGGCTGAAGATGAGTAATACAATATGCAGAATAGAGCAGTCCTTTGCTTTAAATGCAAGAGATACGGGCATTATGCGAATGTTTGTCCAACTAGATCACAAAATAATCAAGCTGTAGATGCGATCGGCTAACTATTCCCCAATCTTAATTTTGATACTGGTACAACAAGCACAGCAAATATAGGAGCTGCTACAACAAATATTTTTGGAATACAAGGAACTAACGATCAAGCTCCATCTGGTTATGCTGATCAGAACATAAGCCAGCTAGATCACTAAAATGAGGCAATGAATAGTGCTGGTGGTGATCCGAATGACATTACTTAAAATTTGAGAAATATTTAAAGGATGCTCGATGGTCAAGGAGGTGTAGGAGCTGGAAGCAGTCAAGACAATTAGATGGTGAGAGTAACAAGTGTCTCACTATAAGAATTGCCTTTAACTTTTGAACAAATTAATATGGCAATAAACAACTGCGCAATGGTCATTTAACAAGAGGGATTTATGAGCATGTAATGATATCCGAGAACCTTAAGGGTCAAAAATTAGTGAATAAATTAATAATTAAAATTTCATTAAAAGATTATCTCAAACAGTATTTATTTTTCTCATTATATATTTTTTTGCAGGAGCTCTTGCTTCCCAATATTAATCATTTATCCAATTTCATCCTTTAAACTTTCGAATTTCAGACTCAAATCGTTTATCTTATCTCTATAGCAATTCTAAAATTCTTATTCTTATTGCTTCTTGTTCACCCTTTAGGACTTTTCATCCTCATAAATTTTTTAATAGCATGAAGTCTTTTAATCTTTTAATTCTGAAATCAAGACCTTCGTTCGATTTGTAAAATAAAGCTATTCCAGAACACATGTTTCTATATCACGCTAGTAGGAACATTTAGCTAGAGTATAGTTATCCAGCTTTTTATTGTATTGCATTACTTGATCATAGAATTCTATAAGAGGTAAGCCAATTTAAGAATTCTTCCCTAGCGCTTACTTTATTTCAGCTAATTTTTCTACCATTAAATTTATTGTATTATTAAATTTATAAATATGTTATAATTAAACTTTAAAGGATAGAATTTGATTGAATTAACTTACAAAAATGCACAGCCTTAAAGGATAACTAAGATCTTTGGATATATTTGGTCACGAGGTTAAGCTGCTTTATAAGGGCAAAAGCGCTAAGTAAACCTTATTAGGTTCATTCATGACTATAATCTCAGTCGGGTTGATAGGATTTTACTTGGTTTTGCAAATGTTTGACATTTGAGACAATAAAAGCTCTTTCAAACAAACTCTTATCTAACTTGATCTTGATAATCTGTTATTCCCTATTAGTAAAGAGAGTTTCGATACCGCATTAGTATTAATCCCTCCTTTTGCATACAGTAAGGAGTAAGATAACGAAGAAAATATTTACCGATATATTAACATCACAACCATACTTACTATAACTACCGATAGATTAGACTAAGATGGAGATAGAGTTGTTGAAGATCAGCATCTAGAATTGTTCAAATGCTCAAAAGATAGAATGTTTGCAAGTGATTGATTTACCTCGATGATAGAAAGATTTTAATACGCTGAATCACTATGCTATAAATAATTTGAAAAATTAGAGTTTAGAACGGATAACAATAGAATCTCCTATTAGATTGGGGCTTGTGATTAAGATTATCTCTCCAAAAAGTACTCTAATTCAACCTGTGAAAAAGACAAATTAAAGGTTCAGGAAATTCTCAAGGATACATACCTATTAGTTTTTTCATCCTCCTATTATTTCGATCCAGAAGAATTTAATTAGAGTCCAATAAAGGTAAATACAGTATAGAATGCTTTCAGGTTCTCATCCTAATTTGAGAAGATAGTTAATTTTGAGATTGGCTTAAACAAGGCAATGGTTTCTGATTCAAAGCTTCATGAGAATATTGGATCATACAACAGAGAGTTCATCTCTACTAAATTTGTAAGTCAAGGAAATAATGATAAGTCAGAAGTTGATCCAATACACTTTACTATTCAGTAAGTTATTTCAACCTTAAAACTATTCTAAGATTCTATATGACGACTGAATAAAATGCTTTTGAGAGACAGGCTAATAATCTTGTGATGGCTCTCTCAAACACAGGTGGTCTAGCTGGTTTATTATTTGCAGTTGTTCGAATTATAATAGGCCCAATTTAGGAGTTTCTTTACTACTAGAGCTTAATTTAAAAGTCTTTTATGGTTGAACAAAACCGAGTGCTTACTGAGAGAGTCTGAAGACTTTCTAGAAGAACTTATATAATTAAAAACCAAGAAGCTGAAAATGATAAAAATGTTGATATCTCCAAATTTCAGGCAAAAGACTTCAACACTTATCTAGAATTAATTAAAAGACTCAAAAATAGAGTCCCATTCAGATATAGAATGAGGTAAAATATTGCTTATTATGCAAAGAAATTATTGCTCTGCAAAAAACAACACTTCAGGATCTAGAGAGAACTATTTGAGTTTGGGAAAATGAAAATTGAAAAATAATTTGATATTGCTGTGATTCTAAGAGATTTGAGAACATTTAAAATGACTAACAGTTTACTACTATCCAAGTACCAAAGAAAATTGATTCCATTTTTCAAAAAATACCAGCTAAACTAAATGTATGAAAGAGATCTTTAAAAAAAAGAAAAGGCAACTAAATAAGGAGAGCGTAAGCAATTCGTTAATGAAGTAACTTAGTTGATGATAGAACTGTTTTCTGATAGTTAGAATCCTTCAAGCACTTATAACCAAGTATTTCTTCACAGTCTATTCTTGTAAAATAGAGAAAATGCTTAAAAAGATTTGAAATCATTAATGTACAAGGGTGTACTTCGGTACTTCATCCAAAAGAACTTAGATACTCGAAGACTTCTCTAGTTGTCTTCATCTTCTCAAATAAAATCTAATAATATAAAGAGTACTTCTCTAAAGAAAACTGTTACATTAGGAGCATCTGCTGCTAATTTAGAAGATATAAAATTGCAAATCTAACTTAATAGAGCCTCTGCTTAGTAATCCACTGAAGAAAAATAAGATGACAGTCCAAAACCTATTCCTATATATAGTATTAGCGATGAAGAGAATTAGATTGCTAGCTAGCAACTTAAAGCTCGACGTAAATTCATAAATTTATGAGAATAGTTTAATCACTAAATTTTTGAATATTTCTATAGTAACCGACTAATGTTTCTTGATATTAATCAAAGATTCAAACTATGGATAGATCAAAAAATTTAAGGATTAAAATATTTTAAGGCTTTTGATATTATATAATTAGCTATTATAAACCAGATATTTATCATAAACATTATAAGCCTAAACATTGATTCATGGGGTTTTGGGGTTTTGGGG